TCCAGCCCCATCCTCATCCTCATCCAGCCATCCTCACTCTCCTGCTCCATCACCCCAGCTCACTTCCCCCCTACCCCCACAAGCTTGGTCCTTTAGATCTGGTCCCCACTTTGTGTCTCAATTCCTCTGCTCACAGAAATTCCTCTGATCATATGACCCTTAATCTCAATAGCAATGTGACCACATCTAGCGCCCATATCCAATTGCAGCCATGTTGGGGTATGTGATGGGGCAGGAGGTGGGCACACAAAGCTGGCTTATACCAGTTGGCCTCACTAATCCGGATGTGTCTTTCCAGCCCATTATGGTGCCCCTTGCTGTGAAAATAAAGGTACCTGCTGTCTCTAATAGGGCTCTGCTTTGCACTCTTCCTTCACAAAGGAACTGTAATTTAGGGGAGACAGTCTAATGAATGTAGGTGCTGAGAAACTTCAATACTATCAGAGCTTTTCTTAAATCAAAATAATTACCTTGCCGAGCATGGTGGCACATGTCTGTAATCTCAGCACCTTGGAGGCTGAGGCAGGAGGATTGCCACAAGTTCAACACCAGCGTGGGCTACATAGTGAGTTCGGGGCAGCCTGAACTATGCAGAAAGACCCTATCTCAAAAAACAAAAAAACAAAACAAACAACAACAACAAAACCCAACCCAAAACAAAACGAAAGAATTATTTTGCTATAACGTGGAGGAAGCCTGAAAATAGCATGCTAAGTGAAAGACATGAGACATAAAGGTCACACTATCATACTATTTGTGTAATGTGCCCAGGAGAGGTAAACCTATAGACAGAATGGAGACTGGTGCTTGCCAAAGATAGTGATACAGGTAGCAGGACTCTGAGTATACTAAAAAACACTGAACTACACAGTTTACAAAATGATGAGGTTTCTCATGAATTATAACTTCAAGCCATGATTCTGATACCCAGAGATGACTAAGCCTTGGAGCTGAATTCAGTGAGAAGGCCCCAGGCCTCTGGTGCTGCCCCCATTCAACTCTGATTTTTAAACAGAGTTTACTGGTCCTTTAACTGAGGGCAGCTTCTGTTCTCTCCCAGGAGTTTTCCTTGCTTTCCTGTCCCTGGGCAGGAGGAGCAGTTGCCTTCTCAGCACTTGATACATAAAAGACAAACATTCTTAGCGACACCTGTACTCACTTTTATATCTGTTTCTTACACTGGACTAAGCCCACAAGGGTCAGTGTCACAAGGGTCACTGACACTGAGTTCACTTACTAGCACAGTGTCCAGTGCCAGGCTTTCAAAAGATTCTCAGTAATTATTTTTTAATGTATACTCAGGGCTCTTGGCTAGATCACATGAAGCCCTAGGTGTGTACCCCAGCACACTAGGTATGCCTACCAGCTATAGAGTACTGTCATATATGACCATCTAGTTGAAAGGTCTGCATATCTGTTGACATTTTTACAAGTCCAATGTTAACTAATGAAAGCAATTAATCCAAATCAAAAACTAATTTAACATCCCGATTGCACTGCTAGAAAATAAGCTGGGAGTTTTCTACATAGAATGATTTCATATTTTTATACTGAACTGTAAATACACTAGAAATCAAGCATATAAATCAAAACAGTCTACATAAGCACACACATTTTCTACAGGGATATAACATGGGTTAAGTAGGACAATCATATTTGTTGCTATGAGATCCTCTGATAAGTACTGTATTCTGGCTTTTCTCTTATAATAGTCCTATTTAGAACTTTTTAAGGAACAGACCCTTTCTAAACAGGGGAAAAACCCAAATACCTATAAGAGTTTTTAACTTTAGAGCATCAAATAAATGTAGAATATCTTTGACAGTATCTTTGAGCCAGCAACTGAGAGCCATGTCTGTCTCCATCTGTGTCCTTAAGAAAGGAACTGTGGACTAAGGTATAGGTTTAGAAGAAAGAACTTTTTATGTATATGTGAAATGGGTGTGATTAGGGTGTGGTCAAAGCTGGTTGGGGAGTAGGCATGACAGGTTAACTACAAGATCCCCCATCCATGTGCAGATCAGTTAGAGCTCATCTCAGCCTAGAGCTCACGTCAGCCTGAGACTTGGGATCACAGCACCGCCTTGTAGGACCAGGATATAGACGTTCTCTTGGTTTCCAGATTTAGACAGTATAAAAGAAAGGCTGCCATGAGGAGCTGGTGCTATCATAACTTTCCACGATAGCCCAGGCTGTGTTTCCTAGATACGGCATGTACTTTTATCTTTGCTCTCTGCCTCTTTTTGTATTAACTCAGTTCAAGCTTGCTCTTCAGAGCCAGTTACTCTCCCAACTTTCATTTTGGTTTTGTGAATAAACTTTGACACTGCTTTTGGCTTATTTCACTCAATTCTTTGTTCAAGGCAAGAAGAACCTGGACTCCAACTCCAGAAGGAGAAGCAGGCAACCCACAGCCTGGTAGTGTTTACCTGGACAGCCACCATTTAGAACAAGCTACCTGATAAGCTACAAGTGATAATGAGGATTGAGCCTTGTGTCTTCACACAGAGCTACATCCCCAGCTGTTTTTATTTTTTGTTTTGACACAGAGTCTCACAAAGACTCCAAATTGCTCAGGATGGGCTCTAACTTGTGATCATCCTGCCCTGGGCTCCCAGAGTGCTGGGATTATAGGAATGAGAAGCCATCACATAGGGCTGAGTTTCTTGTCACAGAATTTTTTGTTTTACTGTTTTTTAAGACAGGGTCTCACTAGGAAGTTCAGGCTGACTTGAACTCATTATGTAGTCCACGCTGACTGAACTCTTGGCAATCCTCCTGCTCAGCCTCCTGAGTGCTGTGATTACAGGCACACACTACTATGCCTGGGACAGAAGTTTTGTTATTTCCCCAGTGTCAGGGATTCCCTAGGGCCTTACACATGCCAGGCAAATATCGAACCATTAAACTATATTCCAGCCCTTCACAGATTTTTATGCCTTCAAATTTTGTATCAAGTACATTATCTATGAAATTTGATTCTCAGCTCCAGCTAGACATCATTATTAAAGAATGTGGGCCTAGACTTGCCAGATCTAATACTTTCAAAGAAGTTGGAAAAGGAAAAATTAAGATTTTTATGCAAAATTTATGATTTTTAAATAGACCAGGCCAAAAGCACTATTGTCGCAAGCCATTATTTAGCTCATAGGCCAAACAGTTTACCATCTCTAATCTGAAACCTGATGTGTGACTTATGATTTCAAAACTATAAATATAACTTCTTGGAGGAAAACTTAAGGCTTGTAGATGAACCTGTGCCCTTCCTTCCCACCATCCGTTTAGTCATAATTGCTCCCTTAAACTTGCCATTTCAGAACCTTCAAAAAGGCTGTCAACATTTGACCAACCAAAATGCAAGATGTACTAGGTTTGATCAAGGATTCTGCCCATTATCCTAGCAACTTCTCTGTTTGAAAGACAGAAATGTGGTCACTTTTAAATTGCAATGCTTCTAGCCAACTGGCCAGGGTTATGTAGATGATTTCTAGCTGGATGGCAAAACTCCCCCAAGCCACTCATCAAATGATTGCATGGTGGAAGAGAGCTCCAAATTACTTCTCCTATACCACCAGGCAGGGTGGTGAGTACCCCACTGCTCACAAGACCAGAGGCCCAAACACCATAGAAACCCTGAAAATCTCAGTCACTCTCTCTCGGCGTGCAGAGAAGGCTTTATCTCTTAAAACTGAAGATAAAATGTAGACATGATATCTTGTTTAAACAATATTAGGACAAAGCTTTCTTTTCAATGAACTAAGAGAAAGTAGCTGTATATCTTGTCCTCTGAATAACTACTATGAAGACAACAATATGCAATGCATTAATTATTATAACTGTCCTACTAACCTATTTTGAAACTGTTTGTTATTTTGTTCTTTTTCTCATTAAAATAAATAAATAAATAAATAAAATAAAAATGAAGATAAGAGACTCCCTGGCCTCTAGTCACGCACTGTTATTGGAAGGCTGCATCTGCTTAATGCCCAGAGAATATCAAAACAAACTGTACAAAAATAGATTTCAGTTCTAAGTCTAGGTTAGAGGTATGCTACCTGCTTCCTCAGTGTGTCTGAAAGTCTCACCCTCCTCCTCTTTTTGCTCAATACTCCAAAGGAGTTAGAGTCCAACTCTATCCCTACCAACAGCAGCCCACACACCACTGGCTGAAGATGCACAGCCTGCAGGGTGTTCCTAGAGGAAAAGAGTGACCAATGGCCCTCCCACAGGACACAGAGGTCAAGGATTTCCTATGCAGAAATACCACCAAGGGCCACATCTCAACCAACAGCTTCTTCATTCAATGACAAGAAGGAAAAGATGACACCTTATGAGATGTCAATCTCACTCTCATTACCCAGTCTGAGGGGGAACTGTATATTCAACCAACAGATCTAAACAGCTCCAACCCTATGCACATCATCCCCTCTTTTTAAAAAAGGTGAGCATTTGGGAAAACAAAATAAGCTAGGTTTTGGACTCACTTTTTTTTGGAAAAAATGTCACCATGATCCAGGAAGTGAAGACATTTAAAATATTTTGAGAAAAATGCTATTGCTCCCTAGCTGTGACTGTGGCAGCCCTTCCCTGGTTGAGTTCATTGCCAAGAAGACTGACCAAACCATGAGACACAAGCCAGGCACACTGTTGCTAAAGAGCATGAGCAGAACCTGGTACCTGCAGTGCCCTGCATGTCATGTGCGGAGATCAGAGCCAGCTCTCTCCAATGGCCACCTCTCTCCAATGGCCATACTCGGTTCCCATTCAGCAAGGACAAGTGCACGTGATCCAGTCACCTGCACTTCCTCTAGCAGCACACCTGAGCCTAGGGACCAGAAGGACAGCAATCTACACACACACCAGTGTCCAGCAAATGCGGAAGGTTCTCTTCTGTAATAACCAGCAGACTTATTTAATGATTTGTGCTTTCTTCTTTTTCTGTAAGAATGAATACCAAGTAGGTTTTGGGCCTCAACCCTAAGCACTCTCTGTGCTCTCACCTCAGCAGCCTGCGTCTCCTGATGCAGCAACGTAAGGCCAGTCAAGTCTTCTAAGAAGGAATGTGAAGAGTTAAACACCTTTGCCAGGAAATTAAATCCTTCTTGTTCATATTGATCAAGTACCTGTAAAATATATGTATTCTTAGAAAGGAGGCTATAGATTTTAAATGCATACCAAAGACTTTTATTTCTAATAAGCATTTTTCAAAAAAGAAATTAAAATTAGAATTAAGTATAGGATAATAATACAACCCGCTAAGTACAAAACTTGAAGAGTTTATTATTCCCCTTTCTTCCTTATTTTCCTCGGAAATATAATAATATCATCTTCCAATTCAGATGCCAGTTTTTCTCAAATAAAATGAGTTACATGCAAATTCACTAATAATTTTAAAAGAATTGAGGTTAGTGATTTTAAAGTTTACTTGTTAGAAAAGAAATAGCAGGTAAGGGATGAGCCAAGACAAAATAAAAAAGAATCAAAGGAAAGGAAGGGACAAAAGGTTTTGTTACAAATGTGATATACCAGCTAGCCAAATGTTTTTTAAACGTAATTTTTAAAATGGAAAAATAAATGTTAATAGGCACTTCACAAATGAACATATCCAAAGTGCCAAAAAAAAACAAATGAAAATGTTCTCAATGTCAAATATCATCAGATAAATGGAAAACTAAAACCACAATGAAATATAGCACATCTCCAACTTATGAACAAGTTCTATTCCAGGAGAACATTTGTAAGCCAGAGTCATTCATAAGTCTGACAAAGTGAGTATTATACTATATTTTCACTTTTGTTTCTGTGGTTATTCCTTTGTGCTTCCTAGAAGTTTCCTCCATTACTTTTCCTCTTTCTAAACATCCTGGGACCACACTATGGCACTGTGCAGTGAGCGCACAGTAGCACAACTGTGACAGTGTCAGGCAGATAGGTGAGCGACTTCCAAGATCTGTTTTTATCTACAAATGTGTAACATGAGGTCTCTTCATATCTGTGAAAGTTTGCAACTTGAATGTTTGTAAACTGGGGACTTGTATAGCTTTGAACCTTCCCAAAAGTCTAAAATGAAAAGACAAACTAATTTTAAAAAGGGAAAGTTTTGCTCTGTGTATTGTGTTACCTTTTACAGAATAAAAGAATTATATATTAAAAACCAAAATTGTATGAAGGTAACAGACAACCAGGACTTTCATGCAAATACAAAATGAGCCCATCATTTCAGAACTTTAACATTTATATGCCTGATGATCCTTCAATTCTAGATATACACACAACCAAACTGTGTGTATATGCATACCAGAAGACATAACCATGAGCACAGCATATCTACCTATAGTAACACTATTTGTGAGAGCCCCAAATTAGAGGTTACTTAAGTGTCCATCATGGTGAAATGAAAGTATTATTGTATATTCATGCAACAGAATACTATATAGCAGTGACAGTGAACTTTTTAGAGCTTTCAAGGATAACAAACTGCCAGGTGTGGTATGCATGCCATAGGTTCACCACCACTGTTATATAGTACTGCAAAGTACATCTACACTCTTCCAACAAGAGTGTAGATGAGAAGGAAGAAGTAGGATCTGTAGTATAATGACATTTATATAAAGGTTAAAAAACAATAAGGCAAAATGAATCTATGATGTTAGGATTCAAGACAGCAATGACCTGTGGGGGAGATTATAACTAGAAGAGAACACTAGGGATGTTCAACATACTATTTGCTTCTTTATCTGGGTACTGGCCATATAAGGTGCATGTTTTAAGAATTCATCAAGGTGAGCACTTAAATTTGTGTAAATTTTCTGTATCTATGCTGTCTTTCATAAAAGAGGACAAGAGAAAAGGCAAAAGGTCTTGAATAAATAAATAAATAATAAAACTAAAGAGTTCTTAGAAGCAAACAAAAAAATAATGGGCACATTTAGAGATCAATGAACTATAAACTGTAGAAAGTAAACAGTAAACCAGAACTCAGAAGAAATAGGTAAAATTTTAAAAAGATAGCAGGGCAGCTGGTGAGATAGCTCAGTGGTCTAAAGCACTGACTTAGGAAAGCTTAGGCAGGTGCAGGGGACCACGGTTTGATTCCCAGCACCACATGCAGTGCCAGCCCCACCCTCAGGATGGGTTGAGCGGGCCAAAAAAAAAA